TGAGCTCTTTTTGCTGGCACCTCCAGTTCCTATTCATGGTTCTTCTGGAGCATCCACTACCCTTCACTTGACATGATGAAGGGCACAGTTCCCTCTTCTTCCCTCTGAAGAAGAAGGAGAAGGGAAAATCAAATACTTGCTCTCCTCAGTCCTATGACTCCTACAAATTCCAGGCTTCTGCCTCTATAGGCAGAATGAAGCCCTGGGGTGAATGTGGAAGAACCATTTGACTGCCTTTCAACAAGCCCTGGAGGAGTGTCCTGGCAACTTTCTAGCAGATTTGGTGCTACTTATTTGCTGCTGGCCTTAGCTTTAGGCTAAATGTCCAAGACAACAGATGTGGTCTCAAGTCACATCATTGTACATGTCTATTTTTATACAGTTGGAATGAGAGAGAAGGGCAAAGGATAATAAAGATCAACTTTAGCTTTCCTTTGTGCTCAAAATCCAACCACCTCTTTTGCTTGCCTCCGACCTTAGCAGAACTCTACCTGGATTTGAACTTCCAAGTCCTGCATATCAGCTTATTGGCATAATGCAATACAAAGATGACCCATGTGAATGAGAACTCAAAAGCACCATGCTTTATTCTACTTTTTAAAAACATTTTAATGTTCCATTACATTCACTGATGACTTATTGACCTGCTCTGCCACATTTCTCGAATGCTTTATATTTATTTAAATGTGACTAAAATTATGTTTAGTCTCTAAGACAAAAACATAATTCAAGAAATTAAAGAGGGAAATGAAGGTTGGTGTATTAAACAAACACATCCAGATAGTCTCTACTGAGATCATTTCCAGTTGATATTGCTGGGGACCAAACTACTCTTGGGTGTCCAAAGGGATCAAGCCATCCTAAGTTTCGGGGCCTTTAGTTAGATATGTCTTTGTAATTGGTGAGCTCTTTAGGGGACCAGAATTCTCTTTTTCATCTCTGAAACTCCAGTAAATAGAATCCCACTGCCTAGTACACAATAGGACTTCAATAAATATTAGATGGGCAGACAGGTGGGTGGATGGATAGCTATGTATATGGATAAGCCAACAAGAGATCACTTCTTTCCTGTGATGGCAATGAAATAAGCCCCTTCCCGCATCCCTTCCTGCTTTGGCTCTTTCCCTTTTGGTTAGTGAGCAGGCAATTGAGATTCACCATGTAACCACATGGACAGCATCCTCCCTGTTCAGTACTTGTCCAGAGAGCTCTAGTCTTTGTGCTTTCCTAGAAGCTGAAAGGTAGGGCAGAGCCCAATGTCCTTTTTAAAATAGAAGATCCCTTTCAATTCCTTCCTACTATATCTGCCTTTCATTTTAAGCATTTCCCTCTTCCTACCACCAGTTCCACTGAACTTCAGATGAATACATGATTAAATTAGCCCAGACCAAAGGAGCAGAAGATAATTTGATCTGAAACCCTTTCTTAGAACAAGGCCTTGATTCTCCAGTCCAACTGTATGATACCCATGAAGACATTTTAAGGCTAGAACAGTGGTTCTTGTATTTACTCCTCTGTGTCTGTTTCCTCATCTATAAAATGGCAATAATAGAAGTACCAACCTCTTGAAATCATGTGAGGTTAAATGAGTGAATATATGTTAAGAGCTTAGACTAATAACTAACATCTAGTGGATGCTCAATAAAAGTAACAGTTATCATTGGGCATGGTGGTGCATGCCTATGATCCCAGTGGCTTTGGAGACTGAGGCAGGAGGACCATAAGTTCAAAGCCAACCTCAGCAAAAGTGAGCTGCTAAGCAACTCTGTGAGACCCTGTCTCAAAATAAAATATAAAAAGGGCTGGGGATGTGGCTTAGTGGTTGAGTGCCCCTTGAGTTCAATCCCCAGTAAAGTCCCCCAAAAGTAACAATTATCATTGTTGTTAATAGTATGAATTGAGTCTCTCTTATCTTAAATGCTTGGGATTTTGGATTGGATTTTGGATTTTTCTGGATATTGGAATGTTTATATATATATGTAATGAGATACCTTGGGGATGAGACCCAAGTCTTAACACAAGATTCAGTTATGTTTCGTATATGTATAGCCTTATGGTAATTTTATGCAGTATTTTTAGTGCCCCTGTGTTTTGGCTGTGACCCCTCACATGAGGTCAGGTGTGAAATTTTCCACTTTGTGGAATCAGATCAGCATTCAGAAAGTTTGGGATTTTGGCACATTTTAGATTTTGGATTTTTAGATTAGGGGTATTCAACCCGGACAACTGTTATTAATCTCAGAAATTAGCACTGGACATCTTTATAAATACCTGAGGAGTTTATTAAAGCATAGATTTCTGGACCTTATCTCAAATTGATGTAACAGGTCTGGAGGGGACCCAGGAAGTTAGTTTCATAAGCCTTCCGGCCAACTCTACCTCAAGTCCTCAGGAAACTGCACTGACATATGGGGCTAGGGGGTGTAGCTTAGTGGTAGGACACATGCTTAGCATACATGAAGCCCTGAATTCAATCCTCAACACTAAACAAAGAAGCAAGAAAGAAAGGGGGAAAGGGAGCGGGGAAGGAAGGGGGGAGAAACTATACTGACAAGACCTTGGGGGTTGTACGTGGCATAGTAAAACCAGGTCAGAAATCAAGTCTTCAATTTAGGGAGTTGTGGGATATTTGTTGCTCTGTAACTAAAAATTAATATATAAATGGAAACTAATCCTAATTATAGTTTAAAATGTTGAAAGTAGTGTTAGTAACAACAGTCCTCAGTCAAGAAAAAGGTAAAACCGAACAGTTTGTGATGAAATTAGATATAAACCTGACAGTATTTATTTTTTTTTAAAGAGAGAGAGAGAGAATTTTAATATCTATTTTTTAGTTCTCGGCGGACACAACATCTTTGTTTGTATGTGGTGCTGAGGATCGAACCCGGGCCGCACGCATGCCAGGCAAGCGCACTACCACTTGAGCCACATCCCCAGCCCCCTGACAGTATTTATAAAGCTTTGAATTAAATTGGCTTTAAAACAGTTTTGAGATTTTTTTAAAAATCTTTTTATTCATTTAGGTTTTTAAAACTTTGCTTGATCATTAATATTATGACATGCAAAGGATAACTAATTGTTTTTTTAAAGTGTTATTTATTTTTATTGTGGTAAGAACAATATGAGATCTACCCTCTTAAACACTTAAGTGTACGATATAGTATTGTCAACAGTAGACATAATGTCATAGAGCACATTTCTGGAACTGACTCATCTTTCCAAGTGTGTTTTTTTAAACTTAGAGTTATGTATTTTAAATGTCTTTTTTTACACTTAGGATTTAGGGGAGTTTTGTTTGGTTTTGTTTGGTTTATTATTTTTTATTATATATGTCATATATATATACAATATTTCATTTATTTTATAGTCTAGGAAATAGTCTAAACACTATTCACAACATTATTTCTATGAGAAAATATATTCCCTTGTTCCAAATTTCAAAATTGGCAATCTTTTTTTACAACTAAAAAATAAATTTTTATTGATTTTTTAAAATTTATATATGATAGTGGAATACATTAGAATTTTTATTACACATAAAAAGCACAATTTTTCATATCTCTGGTTGTATACAAAGTATATTCATATTCACACCAATTTGTGTCTTCATACATGTACTTTGGATAATAATGTCCATCTCATTCCACCATCATTTCTAACCCCATGCCCCCTCCCTTCCCTTCCCACCCCTCTGCCCTATCTAGAGTTCGTCTATTCCTCCCATGCTCCCCCTCCCTAACTCACTATGAATCAGCCTCCTTATATTCAAAATTGGCGATCTTTAGAAATAGAAACCATTGAGAAGATAGAGGCCATCCATGTATAATCTAAAGGGATTTGGTCAAACTTTTGTGAACCAGCCACTTATCAACCATTTTCTAAAATGTTAATATAATATTTTAAGCAGAGCAGCAATACTTGTCTATTCATACTATTTGTTTAACCTCCTGTTTAGTAGTGCTTTCTTAATTAAATGGCATCATTTAAAAATGGTTCCTGCTCTATCTTCACATTGCTCATGTCAGGTGTTTTATGTGTGGCATGGCCCAAATATTTACAAGTCATAAAGCTTTAGCTTGTGTCAGTATAAACAGATCTAACTATAATTCGAAGAATGTTTGCGGTCAGTATTTGACCTCTCAACTAGCACTGGTGTGCAGAGTAAATGAGGAAAGAAAAGAACAAGACCAACAACAACAAAAAAAATCCCCACCTATTTTAGAGAAGTTAGGAAATAGAAGCTTTCAGACTAGCCAAGGTCATTTTTAACTTTTCAGTTTTCAAAGCAGACTATTGACTATGAGACATTTCATTTGAGGTAGAAACGAATATATTTTAATTGCATTCCTAAAGTACAGAAATTGTTTTTCTCTAAAGAAGTAAATGAATGTTCTTCTGAGAGTATAACTTTGGATCATTTAGGCTTGTGAGCTTTTAAAAATCTTCTCACACTCTGAATTCACAGAGTCAAAAGGAAAAGTTTATGTCCTTGACTTCCTCCAGCATTGATTCTGTTACTGAACAGCCCTGGTAAAACAAGCATAAACCTTTTGTGAGAACATTCCTTCCTAGAAGGAGTTGGGTTTGCCCTTTCCCAAGATTTAGGTTTCTGTGAAAATTCTTTCAGACTGGAATTGGCCAGAAAGCGTTCTTTCATTTTACTCTGTATTCACGTTATTGAATGTTGCTTCTGTCAGAGGCAAAAAGCCCTGGGATCACTGAAATATTGACAAATTTAAAGTGCAAAGGAAATTGCCACATTGACAGAATCTTGGTCCATCTATTTAAAGACTTTTTTAAAAAAAAAAAAAGCTATATAAACTCCTATTCTGATAAGTTTTATTGAATGACTAAGAGATTATTAACAAAAGGATCCCACGGAAATCGGCAGCCTGCTTTTTTAAGAGGGAGAGCATTGTTTAGTGAAGTAATAAATACAAAGCTGTGAATTGTGGCACAGAATTATGAGTGTTGATTGGATTCTCTTCCTTGCTTTTTAGCTCTATGACAAAATTAACACAAAATCTTCACCGCAAATCAGGAATCCTCCGAGCGACGCAGTACAGAGAGCCAAAGAGGTAAGTGATATATTTTCTGAAAGAATTTGGTATCATCATCTTTCCTATCTTGATTGAAGACACTTCTACTTTACCTTAAGAGGCAGTTTCCTTGGATTTACAGTTGGACTCATTATATTCAGATTTTGTGTTTCTTAAGTTTATCACTGACAGGAAAGAAAAAAATTTTCAGCATCAATATTGCCAGTTTGCTAGTTTTCTGGTTCTGCTGTGTAAACTTGAATATATTAACATTTCGATTTTACTTCTTTTGTGTTTTTTTTTTCCAAAAAGAAAGTGTGAAGTTTTTTTTCAAAAAGAAAGTATTCACGGTACTTGATACAAATAGATGTGCTATGCAATTTTGAATTGCTTTTTTCAAGTGGTATTGTTTGAAAGTTAATTAAATTTCCATAGCAGTTAAATATACTGAATTCAAAGAAGTCATTTTTATACATTGCCAGTATACGTGGCTGTACATATCACAAACTTTCTTTAAACTTACTTATAGAAACATGACACCACAGAAAGTTTGGAAAATAAAATCGATCCATAATCCCTTCTCCCCTACACAGTGGTTTCATTTTTGCATATCCTTTTCCACTCATTATCCATTTGCATATGAATTTTATATAGCTGCAATCTAAATATCTTTTTAGTCATAATATTATATAATAAGCATTTTTCTGTGTTTCTACTTGGTCTTCATAAATATAACATCTAATGACTGTGTAATTTTTCTTTACTATTATTAAATTAAAATGAATTAACAGTTCCCCCATTGTTAAACACGGGTTTTTTTTTTTTTTCATTTTTTGATCTTTTAAAAGTCTTCATGCATCAGTAGAGGAAAGGGAGAGGCCAGAGGGAGGGAGGAGGGAAGAGAAAGGGGAGATGCAGGGAAGTGATATTGGCCTAATTATATTGTTATATTGTGTGCATGTACAAATATGTAAGAACAAATCCCACCATTATGTACAACTATAATGCACCAATAAAAAATGTGGAAAAAATAAAATATATCAAAAGAGTCTTTATGCAAATAATCATTTTCCTTTTAAATCATTTTAAAAATTATTTCTTATAAAGTGAGATTACTCCATGAATAAGTATGAAAGACATAATCTATTCCCTAGCAGATTTTTAACACAAGACTTGTACTGGAAAATATTGTACATTCAGTGAGAAAAGAGACTGATGCTGTGGTGGCTGCCAGACTGTCCCCTAAGTCAGAATAAGCTGAAAGGGGTTGTCTTCTTATTTTGCCCACCAAGCACTCATTGAAAGGAATAAAGGTGTCTTTGGCAGGAGTCATGAGAATCACTATCTTATATTTATGATACCCAAACAGAAGCAGAGACATTCTGGGGAAAATTATTTGGCTTAACTGAACAGAGAGAACCTGCTGACATTATCCAACTAGCAATGCTTAGGAGACCACACCTCTGTACTTGAGATTGTGGGCCATGAGAGTAGCAGGGGACAGAGAGAATCGATGCTTTCATCCTTTCATTTTCCCCAGAGAGAAATGTGAATCCTAAAATACATCAGGAGAATTGGTTTATCATCACTAAATATGAATTCATAGCATAACCAGCACTCAGTAACAGAACATTTGGATAAGAAAGTAACCTTGTAGTATGTATGTGTGTTGTTGTTGTTGTTGTTGTTGTTGTTGTTTTGTGTGTCTGTGGTTGAGTAGCAGAGAGTGTTGTAAGTATGATGTTGAAATCTAAAATTCAAACTAAATGACCTGAAGACATCCCCTCCTAAGGTTCTCACAGGTCAAAGCAAGAGATCCCTATTGGTTTGAAGCTTATGAGCCCCTGATATCCTATAGTGCTAAAGCAATCCTTTATTGGCGCCAGGGTTGGGATTTATTGGAGTACAATGTATAAGACCTCTCTGTGAATCCAGCCATCCACAGTTAGAAAAGTAGCAGGTGTTTGCCATGGGCTCATGTCCCCAAATAAGTAAACTCTACCCTAGCAGGAAGGGATTATTTTTGAAGAACAATTTTATTTTAAAATGCCATTTTCACGAGACCAGGGAAAATATTAACAACTAATTAGTGAAGGAAATTTGAGTAGCAGGAGAGAAGAAGGTTTTTAACATTGTTCTTGGGTTCTCTACCATTTAATCCCAGAAGCCATTGACAGAAGCATGGTTTAATCCATATGGGGAGATGAGCATGGAAAATAGCATTAATCCTACCTTACTATAAAGAAAATTATTTGAGTGTATTTTGAATTAATTAACTATTCTAATTAACTGGTATTCTTTAAGTAGTTATTATTTGAGCCTATGTCATCATTCTAAAAGTAATTGGCAGTGCTGTTAATACAAAAGAAACTGTTATTAACTTTTGGTACAAATTGATTTTGGTGATGAGTTTGGAAGCTGTTCTCTCATTAAGCTAATTCAGCTACTTAAACCAGTTATAAATATGTATTATAGGCCTGTCATTTTGCATCTTTCAGTGACCTTTTGTGTTTATAGTTGGGTAATGTAACCAAACTATTATATGAATTTGTTTCATCTTTATTGTCATAAGTACCATTATTTTGAATATTAATAACCTTAGAATAAAATGAAGAATTTTGGAAAATAATTGTTTTGACTGACACAAAAATCCACTCATGGACTTTAATGTAAAAGAATTCCATTGTTTGTCAATTTTTTATCATGTTCTCATTGCTATTTCTTGATTATTTTTTAGGTATTGGAAGAAATTTCATGTTACCCTGAGAATAATGATGCAAAAGAACTAAAGCGTATCTTAACACAACCTCATTTCATGGTAAGTAACAATTAAATTTCCATATAACTGAAAACCTCCATTTGTTTTTAATAGCCCTCAGAAAATACCGCCAGCTTCATCAAATGCATTTTTATCCATATACAGTCATATGTTGCTTAATGATAAATTCTGAGAAATGTGTCATTAGGCAATTTCACCATTGTGAGAACATCACAGAGTGCCCTTACACAAACCTGGGTGGTATAGACTACTACACACCTATGCAATCTGATATGTGTGCTGTAGTTCTAAACTCCTAGGGCCATGATGAAATAATAGTAGATTAAATCAAACACAAGAGAAATGTATGCAATCAAGAGACACAGTTAACACCAGGCATCTGAGGATGCTGCCAGCATAATATGGCATACAAGTTTTATAGGAAACCTTTCTCTTGTAAAAAGAAAGAATATACTCAAATAGTAGTAAAAGGTATACTATAGTAATTACATGAACCAATAACATCATTGTTTATTATCATTATCAAGTATTATGTACTGTACATAATTGTACGTGCTACACTTTTATCCAACTGATGCCAGAATAGGTTTGTTTACAGAAGTCGCTGGATCATAGAAAATTTCCAGATCAATTAAAATCTTATGGGATCACCATCATATATGTGGTCCATTGGGGACCAAATGACTATGGTATCAGACTATTAAGATCATAAGACCAAGTAATACCAAATACTTTAAAATCCTTTTTATTTACTTTGTATCACTATTACAAAGATGTGGCTTGTGGAATGGCTCTTTAGGGGCTGTGTAGTCCTCAGACAAGGAATTTGTTTCCTTGCAGGAACATCCTTAAGTCACTGGAACTGTTTATTACCTAAACAGCAAAGAGCTAAAATTAGAGACAATTTTTGCTGACAAAGAATTCTCTGAACATAGGTGATATATTGAAAGATTTACATCTGTTCTCTGACAGTGCAAAACTCTCGAACTTTCTTCGTTCACTTCTGTTGTATGGAAAATTCTGTTGTGTAAGAACAGCACCTATATTTAGCCAATTATTATAAAGCTAAATGGTTAAACAAAACTTAAAATAGATATGCTTTTCTGTAGAAAGAGGTTCATAGTTATACATTTAACCGCAATTCAACAACACAATTACAGATGGAAATTCATGTTGAATCTAACATTTTTAAAATATGAGCCACATCTGTATATGTAGAATACATGCAAAAAGTTGAAAACCTAGCTGATTGACCTTTTAGAAGAAAATCTGACTTTAAAGCCATGTTCTTATTACTACTATATCTGGTGTAATTTTTTTACTTTTATTTTATTGGCTCTTCTTAGTTACATATGACAGTAGAATCCATTTTGATAGTATTATACAAGCATAGGCTCTTTTTTATTCTAATTAGGATTCCATTCTTTTTTTTTTTTAGTTGTAGATGGACACAATACCTTTATTTTATTTATTTATTTTAATAAAAGAAAGAGGGGGGAGAGAGAGAGAGAGGTTGGCAGAGGCCAGGCCAAGGAGAGTCTTACAGGCCATGGGAAAGAATCTGTTTTTTTTCTCCTGACTGCAGTAAGAAGACAGTAGGTGATTGCAAACAGGAAAATAGCCAATATCTATGCTTTCATGATTCCAGGGGCTGAAGTGTAGAGGAGGGATGATAGGGGTAATAGGAGATAAAGGTGGAGAAACAATTATAAAGCTGAGAGGCAATAGAGGCCTGGAGAAAAATGGGGATGGTAGAAAATGGGCAGATTAGGGCTCTATATTGGAGATGGTTTGGCTACAACAGGACTGCTCATGATTGAGAAGGGAGGTAGTGTGATTAACCCTCGCTGAGAAGAAACCGGCCTAATAAGGCAAAGAGACTTGTTTAAGGTCACCCACCAGTGAGTGAGTGGCTTCACTAAAGTTTAAGCCAACGCTCTTAAAAGTGGCTTGATCTGTTATACTGATGAGTTCTCCTATAAGCTTAAGTTGAACACATTGGTCTTTCCCAAAGAAACATGTGGTTAATGTCCCATATGGGAAATATAATCCTGAGTTAGAGATAGATAGATAGATAGATAGATAGATAGATAGATAGATGTTAAGTAAAATCTGAAATGCTGGATAGTTCTGTCTTGTAAACATTTTTTAAATGATGATTTTAAAATCTTGGATTTTTAAAAAAAGAAATATAGCTAAAGGGGAATATTTTAATGCTTACAATATTTTTGTTCTTAGCATATTTACAGTTTCACACTTATTTCCTCAAGTATCTGGATTTTTCTTTGCTTTCTGATCCCTGTTATATGAGGATTTAACATTGGATTGATTATCTGACACTTAAAGTTCAGATATTTGTAAATATTTACAGTAACTTTAGGAGAGTAAACAAGGATAGATTCGAGTGACTTTAAATCTGTACTGTATCTTTAGAGGTCATGATAAAAAAGAATATTATCTCACTAACTCCTTTTTCAGTGATTCCATCTAAAAGACTGATTTTTCAAAAGTACGATTCTTCTGTTCATTGCAGTTGTAAAATACAAAGCATTAAAGACAAATTCCTTATACATTACCTGGATAGAAAGTTAATGCTTTAAATTTTTTCTTTAAAAAATAGGACATAGAGTGGTATGGAAGAATTTTTAAAAACAAAGCCTATATCCAGCTTTTTGCAAAGCTTTAGGTTGTCACAAAAGTTTCATTATAAAGTAGTAAGTTTTATGGTTTATAATTAAAACATCAGATGAACCACTTCTCAAACTAAAAAAAAATCCTATTTTTCCTGTTCATTTTAAGGTAATCAGTTTTTTTTTTTTTTGCCACTCTAGTCTTTTTAGTTATCTTGTACATACCGTTATCACAGTACAAAGTGTTTCTTCCCTATTAATTACTCTTCTTATGTAATTAAAACTAACAGCTATTAGTAACAATTGTCAACTTTGTAACAATTGCTCAGTCATACCTCATAACACATTTGAAGGAAATCACTCAAACTTTGATTTCTCTATTCTTCATTTTGCATATTCTTTTTAAAATTTTTTTAATCTGTAAGTGGGCCCCTTTTTTCTGTTTGCATATAAACTAGAACTTGAGGGTAAATTTTATTTTGTGGCAGCAATCTATTACAGTGACTAATTGTGGTCAGTATCAAGTTCCTTATCTGGTGACATCATTTAAGCATTTTTCTTTTAAAATTAATTTTTATGATTTTATTTAGTTTTATGAATTTTATGATTGTGAGCTTATTCCTCCTTATAAATGATATATTAAATGTGAGCATTTGTTTATATAATTTTAAAGGGTAAATACAAATCATTTGCAAAAAAAAGTAGTGTAAACATTTTCTTCAACACACATAACTTCAAAGACTGGCATTATCCTGATGTAAGCATGGCTGCCTGCTTATGCCTATGTTGACAAAGCATGTTTTTTAAAAATCACTAGTTAGGCCCGGCATGGTGGCACACACCTATAATCCCAGTTCTGGAGGCTGAGGCTGAAGGATCACAAGCTCAAAGCCAGCCTCAGCAACTTAGAGAGGCCCTAAGCAACTTAGCAAGACCAAAATTAATTAATTTTGGTATTAATTTTAGTATTCCAATTAATTTTGGAATACCAAAATTTAAAAAAAATTAAAGTTTGGGGGCAAAGGATATAGCTCAGTGGTTAAAGTGCCCCTAGGTCCAATTCCCCAGTACCAAGAAAAAAGAAAAAAAATTTAAGAAAAAACACCAGTTATAAAAGACAAATCTCTACATAGTATGATGAACCTGATTTTTAGCAATTGAAGCTTTTCAGTTGGCCTATTACCTAGTTTTGCTTTCTGCCTTAAATCTTAGTTTTTTAAGTGGCCACAATTAAACCAGAAAGAGAAGAATTTGCTCACATGACATAATCTCCACATGGGCCTGGGAGTAGCAATACAGGGTGCCATCAAGGCACTGATGAGGAAGCTATGGTCCCCTGGGTCGTTATGGAGCCCTACTTTGAAGCTATGCATTGCTTAGTACCCCTTAGCTACCCTCACCCAAACCCGAGTTGAGACCAGCCAGCTGAGATCTTGGAAATATCTGCTGTTTCCATTAGAAACCCCAATGCATACACTACTCAAAACATATTCTCTACTGTGGAGAAATCAGCACCATCTCCTTTCTGATTTTACCAATTGTTGCCTTATTTTTGCCTCATTTGCACACCTTTCAAATTAAAATAGCCAAGTCATGACTTTGATAAGCCTTTTAATTAAATAACTTAATTTCAGATGCCAAAGGTTATACTTGGAAAGCAATTTTAATTGCATTTCATTATCTGCAGATATTTCATTACCACACAGATTACAAATTAAATTAGAATTAAGTTTATAATTAGCACACAAAGAAAATACAGTCTGTGTAAAGCTCCAAACAGACTGATACTCAGCTATAAATCCCCTTTGAAATAAAAATGTTAAAATACTCATGCTTATTAAAAAATGTTTTTTATGATGGCACATAAAGTGCAGTGACTAGGAGAATATCCTTTTTTATGGAAACAAGGGATATTTATCATCCAAGTTCACCAAGATGACATATATAAATCAGTACAAAGAAATAATTTTTTCTTTGTTAATGGGTTTTGCAAAAAGAACTCGATAATTTGCAGCTTATTTTTTTGTTTGGGCAAATGCTCCAAAAATTAGAAACGAACAGAAACATTAAATACATTTTGAGTTCCATAGCATATATGAAATTACATTTTTTTCAAATGTTATACACTCTTTTTTATTTCTTTTGCCAAGTTATGTAAATTATCTTCATCTTTTGTGTTATATAAAAGTCATATTGTTAATACCATTGATGAAAGATAGTTGTTTAATGCACCAAAAGATTGCACTATTTATTTTTAAATTTGTTTTAATCTTAAGCCCCAACAGAAATTTGCCACCTCTTTTTAAGATGATTATTTTTGCTAAATTATTTGAAATTTCAGTATGTCAGCCTTTATTTGAACAAGTTAGTTGGTTACATTTTCATAACATTGGATAACACCTTTAACCCAGGTAATAAAATACATCTACTTATTGATTTGTTCTCTTACTGATTCATTCATTCTTTTTTAAAATTTTTCTTAGTTATACATGGATACAATATCATTATTTTGTTTATTTATTTTTATGTGGTGCTGAGGATCAAACCCAGTGCCTCACATGTGCAAGGCAAGTGCTCTACCACTGAGCCACAACCCCAGCCCTCATTCATTCTTTAAAAAATAAAAATCCATTGTTCAAGATTATTTGCCACAAAGAAATTGAGGTCTGGTTATACGTAGATGTAATCCACTTTGAGTTCCCTTTAGATGAGAGAGATCTTTGAGAGGTCAAAAATAATTTTATGTGCATTCCTATAGCAGATTTCTGCAGGAATGATAATGTTATTAATATTTGTCTTCTTTCATAAAAATACTAGGCCTTACTTCAGACTCACGACGTAGTGGCTCATGAAGTTTACAGTGATGAAGCATTGAGGGTCACACCTCCTCCCACCTCTCCCTATTTAAACGGTGATTCTCCAGAAAGCGCTAACGGAGACATGGATATGGAGAATGTAACAAGAGTTCGGCTGGTACAGTTCCAGAAAAACACGGATGAACCAATGGTAAGTGGCAAAAGAAAGTTTCCTATACTCTCATAAATCCCAGCTTAAGTTAGATCTACTAACTTCAACCTAACTACTACAAGGAGGTAGGAGGGAAGAGAGAGGGAGGACATGGGTAGTTCTAAAGAAATCAGTTCTCACAGCTTCAGTTCCCCACCTTGTCCTTTCCTAGAATTGTTCTGTCTCACACCATGTATTAGACATGCTGGTCCTTCACATGTTTCCTTTCAAAATTGTGTTTCAACCTTACACAACACACACACACACACACACACACACACACCATAGCAAAACAAAACAAAAACATCATATTGGCAAATTACCCCAGAATGTAAAAATCTCTGGGATAGCAAAGAAAGGGACAGTTTGAAGTACTAGTATTGGTGTTAAGAAAGTGAATAGCTAATGCATTGTAATAAAACATCCTTTTACAAATCTGGTGCTACCAGACCTTTTGCCTTCAACAAAATTAAAGGGAAAGGGACTAATTCAGAAGGCATTCAAAGAATCAAACAACATTGCTAAAATCAGATTCCTTCCATTCACATCTGCCCACTTAATGTGAATTAATTTTCTCAGCGCTGAGGAATAGAGTTGGAATAGAATTGAGGCTGAACCTTACCTCATTCTCATAGAATTGAGAAGATCCTGGAAGGGCTTGTTGATGGTAACTGAGCAGAGAAAGGGTGAAGGGGGAGAAGGGGACACTGTTAAGGCAAACCAAATAGCACATGCAGGAACCTGGCAGTGAAAAAGATGTTTAGCATAGTTTCAAGATGGAAAGAAGGCTCCATAACTCCACTGCAGACAGCAAGGTGGTTGGCCACAACTGGACCACACAAGTGTAAAAGGCCTGCTAAGGAGTCTGTTCTTTATCTTAACAACAGTGGAGAAGTATTCAAAGGTTTGAAGCACGGAGATAAATTACATTTCATGTTAGAGATATCAGTCTGGAGAATATATTAAATGGGATAAGAGGAAGACTATAGCTAAGAGACTGTTACTGCAGTAGTACAGGGGAGAGATACTGGGACTCTGAACTAGAGAAGTGCATGTCAAGATGGAAAGAAGTGAACAAATTAAGGCCTGGGATATAGCTCAGTTGGTAGAGTGCTTGCCTTGCATACACAAGGCCCTGAGTTCGATCCCCAGCACCCCCCAAAAAAAGAAGTGAACAGATTTAAAAAATAATGAAAGGATAAAATCAGTAAGTCTTAATAATGAACTTACATTGGGAAGGATAGAGAAGCAAATATCAGGGATGAACCTTAAACTTTGGATATGGACAATGAAGGACATTGAGACAGGGAACATGGGACATGTTTGGAGGAAGGATCATGTCTTTAGGGGAAAAAAATTCAAACTTATGTATTCATAGAAAAGGGATGTTGGAATATAGAAAAACAAATGTGTACTTAAGAAAGTTGCCCAGGGCATGGGGTTGTAGCTCAGTAGCAGAGCACTTGCTTAGCATGTATGAGGCACTGGGTTCAATCCTCAGCACCACATAAAACATACATACATACATACATACATACATACATAAATAAAATACAGCTATTAAAAAAGAAAGTTGACCAGTTGCCTTCCAGATTAAAGGAAGAGTTACAGAGCAGTGATTCTGTGATCACAATTTCCAGAAAAACTTCAACACTAGACATTTCTTATTATTATTCTAATTAGCTATTCTTTATTCATTGTATATTATTATCTTCCTTTTTTATACTGGGGATTGAACCAAGGGGCACTTAACCACTGAGCCATATCCCCAATCCTTTTATTTATTTTATTTTAAGAGAGGGTCTAAGTTGCTTAGAGCCTTGCTAAATTGCTGAGGCTGGCCTCGAGCTTGTGATCCTCCTGCCTCAGCCTCCCAAGTCACTGGGTGTATATTATTATCTTGCAGTGGGCAGGGAGCATGCAGATCATCTCCCCCCTTCTGGTGTTCTCTAGGCAACTCTTTGACTTAAGAGCATGGGTGGCAGCAGCTCTTAGGCCTTAGGCCTCAGTTTGCTCGTCTCTAAAAGCACACACGACTACACGATCCCCAACATCCCTCCTAGCTCTGAAAGTTAAATATTCCCTTCAGTCATTTTATATATTCATTCACCCATTCAGCAAACATTTAAGCCACCACCATGTACAAATCACTGGCATTTAATATAATGCCAGTGATGTTGTGGCAGATAAGACACAGCCCTTTCCTAGAGCTTGCTTTCCACAAGACCTGGCTACAATGAGCGAGTACATTTTCAGCTTAACAGATTAATAAGCCCAGTTATGACAGAGCTAGAGGGGAGAACAAACTGTGTTGGTGAGGCTGGAAGAAGGTGTGATGTTCAGCCCAGCAAAGCAGACAAAAAGGTAGAAGGAACCACGAGAAGGCCCCAAGGTATCACATGATCATTATCCTCTGAAGCAGCCCAATGAATTGCTTGGTCTTTTGCCTGAAGGCTGACAACACAGAAACATAGAATGAGTAACAGCATAAAACTATGTCCCCAAGTTACTTTTTTTTAATGTTCTTTTTTTTTTTTTTTTAGTTGTTGGTGAACCTTTATTTATTTTTATGTGGTGCTGAGAATCGAACCCAGTGCCTCACACATGCCGGGCAAGTGCTCTACCACAGAGCTACAGCCCCAACCCCTCCAAGATACTTTTTCAGAAAGCATTAAATGGTCTAAAAGTCTTGAAAAAGCCCTTCTCCCTTTTGTCTTCTGTGGTCATAGTGTCAGGTGTATATTTCTTCCTTTGACTGATTGCCATAAAAAGTCCTTTCATGTAAAATATATTCTCAATAATAGAATATAAATCTCTTATGCTTAATACAAATATATGTGTTCACTTATTTTTCTTCTTCAAAGCCCTACATTTCTGTGCAGATTAAATCTCTATGGCCTGTTTTGGCTTATGGACCCCCTGTAATGCATCCATTCTCAAAGGGTGATGCACTCCCATTACACCCTGTGCCTTCCAGGTTCATAACATCATACTTGTAATTATTTCTCTATTGACTGTTACTCCCATAGTGGCAAGTGACAAAAGACCAAACTTGAACTATCTTACACATTAGGGGAAAGGCTTATGTAAACAATGAAAAGCCAGAAATGTACACCACCACCCCAACACCTCTGGAAGGTTCCAGAGTAGGCACCTAACTCAAGGCGGGCTAATTCCTTCCCCAGAATTTGTGAACTTGGGAACAGAGAGAACATGAGTCAGTTTCTCTCTACAGAGAAATGTTTGATGTAGATAGAATTTTTTTCATATTAACTATAATTGTTCTGAGGCAACTTCCCCTAACCCTGGAAGACCCTATCTATCTCATTTACTATTTTGTCTAATAGAGTACCTGCCCTATAATAGGTTCATATTCATGGTTGTTAAATGAACACATAAATCTATTAGTTTCAAGGGTGGAACCTCCACTGTATTATCATATCCCTTATGAAATTAGAATTGACTTACACATTAATTCACAGCATTTTTCCAGGAATACTTCTCTTGGTAACCATACATGCTGATTGAAAGTACAAATTGGAAATGAAACTTGAACATTACAATTGAATGTTGGGAACAACAACATTTTGATAAACTAATTTTCCACATCACTCACCTACCACTTCTGAGAACTGAAAAATAGGAACCATGCAAAGTTATATTTTGTGGAATTATATAAATTAAAATATAAATTCTCAAATATTTCTATGATGTTTTCTGACCAAGTGTAATTCTCCAATGAAGAGACAAGATTAGGTTCCTACTCTTAACTATCTCAAATTCAAGGCCACTTTTTAATCAAGGTACCTTGTTAAAAATACAGGTTTATGGGCTCCATTCCAGGCCTCCTGAATCTAAATCTAAAGAGTGAACTTAAGAGTCAGTATTACTTACATGTTCCTTGTGTGAGTCTTAGAATCAAGTGATCTGGTGCAATTAAAAATGTTTATGAAAGTTTGTCTTTTGCCAGGCATGGTAGTGTACTCCAGTAATCCCAGTGGCTCAGGAGGAGGATCCCAGGTTCAGAGCCATCCTCAGAAATTTAGCAAGGTCCTAGTCAACTTAGCAAGACTCTATCTAAAAAGAAAAAGAAAGGGCTAGGGATGTGTATCAGCAGTAAAACACCCCTGGGTTCAATTCCCAGTACCAAGAAAGAAAGAGAAAGAGAGAAGGAGGGAGGGAAGGAGGAAAGTATGTCTGTCTTTTAATAGTGAATAATGAGAAAACAAAAAATAGTCTACTCCATAGAATAGTGTTATGACATTAAATATGACTGTGAAACATCCACTTATGACCAAGATGGAATAAAAGGGACCAGGTTTATCCTCTAATCTGAAACAATCAAAAATATAAAATTATTTTTAAATATAAAACATTATATTCCATAAAAGAACAGTTTTCAAGGCATTGGACATCAAGTAACAAAGGACAATGATCTCTAAGAAACAGAAAGCTATCACTGAAATATCTATCAAAAATATTTAGCAGTTTAAACAAAAATAACCATGTGCTACACATAGGTAAAAGTAAAATGTAAGACAATAATAACACAAAGATCAGGAGGAAAGAAATTAAGTTTACTATTATATTATACCATATGCGATGTGGTATAGTATCACTTGAAGGCACACTGGTAAGTTAAGTATGTATGCTGTAAAGTCTAACACAACCACTAAAATAACAAAATGTAGAGCTATAGCTAATAAGACAACACAGAAGAGAAAAAAGAATAAAAATAATCCAGGCAGAAAAAGAGATAGAAGGGAACATAGATAGGTAGAACAAGTAGAACTCAAATAGTAGGAAGATACACTTATAACAAACTATATTAATAATCACATTACTCTGACACAGTGGTGTATGTCTGTAATCCCAGAGGCATGAGAGGCTGAGGCAGGAGGATTATGAGTTCAAAGCCAGCCTCAGCAACTTAGCAAGGCCTAACCCTGTCTCTAAATAAAATATTTAAAAAGGTTGTGGATGTGGCTCAGTGGTTAAGCCACTCTTATATTATCATCATTAGCATCATGTGAACATAAATATAGTCTAAATTCACCAGTTAAAAAGCAAAGGTTATCAGATTGCAGATGCTGCCTGCAAAAAAAAAAAAAATGTACTTTATACATTAAGAAAAATAGGTTCAAAGTCAAAGAATAAGAAAAGATATTCTATTATAATATTATTCCAAAAGAACCTGGAGTGACTTTGTTAATATGAAAGTATATTCTCGGATCACAATGAAATTAAGTTAGAAATTAATAACAAAAAGAAAAATCCCCAAGTCCTTGAAAACTAAATCAAACGATTCTAAATAACCAATGGCTGAAAATAGAAATCAAAAGGGAGATTAAACAGTATTTTGAAGTGAATGAAAATAAGCCACAACATATCAGAATTTGTGGGATGCCATTACAAACAGTACTTGAGAGAAATATGTAGCACTATTTAAAAAAAGAGGAAATATCTCAAATCAGTGACCTCAGCTTCCACCTTTAAAACAACAGAATGAGAGAGAAGGAAAAAAACAAACAAACCTAAACTCAAAATGAGTACAAGGAAATAAAAAGTAAGGATCAAATAAACATCAATGAAATAGAAAAGAGAAAAATAATAGAGTACAAATAACACAAATTTTTTTTCTTTGAGAAGATCAGACTAATCAGGACAAATGACTGTACAATCCGGAAAAAGAAAAAAATACAAATTACCAAAACCAGTTGGGTGGGGTGGTAGACACTTGTAATCCCACTTACTCAGGAAGGCTGAGTTCAAGGCCAGCTTCAGAAACTTAGCAAGACCCTGTTTGAGAACAAAAAATAAAAAGGACTGGGGTTGTAGCTCAGTGATAGAGCACTTGCCTAACATATGCAAGGCTCTGGGTTCCATCCTCAGTACTGCAAAAAAAATATATATATATATATTTTTTCTATCCTCAGTACTGCAGATATATATATATATATATATATATATATATATATATATATATATATGTGTGTGTGTGTGTGTGTGTGTGTGTGTGTGTGTATGGAATACTACTAAGCAAGAACATATATATGTAGATATATATATCTCCAATAACAAGCATGAGAGAAGGGTATCACTACAGTATTTAAAAAAGGAAAATAAGAAAATAGATTTATGACAACCGACCCACCCAGCCTCTCCCTCCGAGGATGCCATTCAACAGGAAGCAGCCTCTACCTCTGAGTCACGTTTCTGCCTAAGATGGCTGAGCCAGAAGGAACGGAGTAAAGATTGTGTCTTAAGCCCCAGCAGGCATGTTAGAAGAACTGGGGAAGCACCGGCTGTTGGGAGGAGAGCAGCAGAGTCAAGATGGAAACCCATAAACCACATGATACTATCAAAGAAAACTCAGTTTTTGACATCATAGCCAGAAAAATTGAACTTACTACCAGAAGCAGAAAGGCACCTACTTGAACATGGATCCACGTGTATTGGATTTAATGCTGCTCTCTGTGGCCTAATAGAATAGCAAGCAGTCTTTCTCGGTGTGTCTTGCATGTAACACGGGCCAGAATAGCTGCTGGCTTACCAATGGCAGTGCTCCCATTTTTGGCAGTGAATGCATCTTTCAAAGGTTTTGTAAGTTTACCGTTGAGTACAGGTGATTTGAATTGTGAAACCTGCACCTTGGCACGGGGTGGACTTGTTGGTTTTGTTTTAGGAGGTCTGTACCCTGTTTTCTTGGCTATACCTGTAAATGGTGGCCTAGCAGCCAGGCATGAGTCAGCCCTGCTACCAGAGAAAGGAAACACCTCAACTTACTGGATTAAAGTTTCTAAGCCTATCTTCAGAAAGATGTTATTTCCCATTTTACTTCAGACTATGTTTGCAGCATACCTTGGGTCTAGACAATATAAAGTACTTATAAAGGCCCTTCAGTTACCTGAACCTGGCCTAGAAATTCACTGATTTTGAGCAAATGTGTATACAAAATAAAATTGTA